CTTAGTCCTAAAGTAAAATAAATTTACTTGCATACTTAAAGATGGTTTTATGCCACTAACATCATGGACACAGAGAATAGTAAGGAAACTGTGATCGAGTGACAGAATGACAACGGAACATGATAAGTAATTTGATGTTTAAGTCAATGAATTAACATTTATCCCAACACTAAACTGATATTCTGAAGTGCGTTTCTTGTAAAATTGTTAAAGAATGGTACCTTGGATATATTGTTACACACATCAATTAATTAGAAACAAGTTGACAAGTAGAGAAAACATGGTTCATAGTATATTTGGAAATTTTTTTAAACAGTTAAATTCTTTCTCCTTGAAAATTGTTATTGGCTAGGGAAGTATAGGTTATTGACTCCTAAACAACAATCTCCCATGACCATGTCAGTTTGAACTCAAGATCTTTGGGTCCATTAGTGAGTTTGTTATCTTCTTAGTAATTATTACAAATTTTACAGATCGTATGCTTGGGAATTGCATTCCATCTAAATATCCTTGTTCCTTTTTGGTGACATATTTAATGATAGTTAACTAATTTATATTTTTTATATAGAAAAAATAGGCTTTGATAAATGTGACCATATCAATGACATAAAAAATATTTGCAGTGATTATGTGTACAAAAATTTCATTTCCCTCGTACACTACATCAATTTTTATGTTTACTTTCTAATTGTAACGGAATCGATATAGGGTGCAAAGCTAAAGAAACTACTTACTATAAATATTTATTGTTAACATAATTAGATATTATATGTACGTAACTATTGGGTATAAGTGAGTAAACAACAAAAGTACTCACTGTTTGTTTAGTGTTAATTTTATATTTTTACCCTCAACAGTTCACGAAATTTACCTAAAGAATCAGTTGTTCAGTTTGTCTAATCTATAAAACATTTATAGGACTGATTACATTCTAACGCGATATATTTTAGCCTGAAACTATGAGTTAAATATGATGAAATTAAATATCTCCTAACATGTAACAACCTACACATATTAATAAACTTTCTGAGAAATGATTTCTCTAAAACTGTTTCCTGAATAAAAGAGGTTTGTATTATGATGGCAAATATTTACTTTTAAGTATGCAAATATTTTATTGATTGTAACACTATCTTCACCAGTTTGCTTTTTAAATAAATATTTGTGGTAACTTTTAAACACTATTATCTATATAGTATCATGAACAGCTATTATGAAGGTGACAGTACAGGATGACTTTGAAATATATATGAGCTGGTAAATTTAATTAGCTGTAAAATTATTAACTTCACTTTCAGATGTGAATTAATTATTCTAGTATTTATTATGTTATTTGCTCCTCATTAATAAATGAAAACAAAGGACGGGGTATTTCGAACTTTGATTTTTTTCCCATGTCTTTAGAGGGGAGATATCTCAAAACATTTATTATCACTCACAATGGGCAGGGTAAACCTTATGGTCACCTTTCACTCGTTCTTTGGTAAAATTAGATAATTTCTGAAGGAAATATGATCTGTTGATCAATTCTTTAGCGTGAGCTTTTCTTTAATAATTCAATGGTCAGCTGCAAGATTCACAACTTCTGGTAAACTGTTACTATCTTAGGTCACTGAATTTTTCTATAATTTTTTCATGTTGATAAACAAATTCTTGATTTTGTCCTAGCTCTAACGCTGTGAGCCAAACTATTCCAACCGTATTACGTTTGTGATTGACACAAGTAGAAGTATTTGAGTGTGTTTTATCATGGTGGGCTTTTGGCTTATTAATTACAGTAACAAAATACACACAATGGAATTAGCCATAATAAAATATCGATCAGTTTCACTTTTTTAAACCTTGGTCGTTGAGTTATATTAATCTGTTCTGAGAAATTATATTTAGTTAATGCTATTGATCCTTATGATTATCTTTGTATTGAGATCATAAGACATATCCTTCAGAGTAAAACAAATATATTTCACAGCCATTTTTTCTAATTAAGATTCACAACTAACAATAAAAGACTTAATAATCAGTTGAAATAGGCGTGTAACATGCCTACTGAAGATATTGTATATCTTCTTTGTGAGCTGCAAAACTTGACGATATATCCCGCACTAGCAAATGTAGGGTTTTACAAAATGTTTTAACATAGGAAATAAATAAATGCATTATTGTAATCCTTCCTCACCATAACATTTTTGGTCGTAATTAACTAGACTTTATTCATGGAGTTAATGCAGAAGTAAACTGAATGGTCTGGAATATATAATGTTGAACATTTAAATCTCATCAACTTGATGTCCACAGTTGATCAAGTGTGTAAAAGGGAAATTCCTCTTCTCACTTATCCCCTTTTAGTTCAGCCATGATAGGCAGTTCTCAGTAAATCAGCTCTCTAGTTATACCTCTTGTACTAATCTGTCTGTTTTTCCGCTTCAATAGAGCTAAATTCATTTAATTCGCTACTTAAGACGTCTACTTACAACCTTTATTTTTAGTATTAATCAAAAGCAGACTATATTTGTTAGAATCGACTCAATTATTGTTGAATGTTAAACAATTTAATAATTTTTATTTTATCATAATCATCAATAAAGACCTTAATGCTACGTATTTTCCCAAAGCTATCGAACTTATTGACCTGATGACGATATTCAACTGGATAGGGAAATTATAGCTCAATAAAAACTAATTAACAGACCCACATTCTTTGCTTCCAACGTTTTATTGTGACTAACCTTCTTAAATGTTTTTTTGCTGCATAGATATTGTGATTAAACATCGGTATTTTTTATTAATAAAGTTGTCTGACCTAACAATAGGTAAATGAAAGGTCATAATTTGTATATAAGTCAGTCTTAGTTCTGAGTATTAATCATCACGCATAAACATATAACAGTAGAATTTTAACCACTTAAGATAACAGACTACTTCCATGCGTAACCGCAGCTTTGATGTAACAAAAATGGAACCGACCAGTATAAGTTGAAATTAAATAAAATTGAGGCTAAATGGATTACCAAGTTCTACCAAACAGTATGTCATAACTAATCCATCAACAGTAAAAAAAGCTGATTAGCATGAGTGAGCTATTCACTGGGTAGTCTTAAATATTCAGAGTCACTGAATTCTTTGTTCCAAACAAATACTTAAGGATATATTTTACATGTACTAACCACATTTTTAAGTAATACATACGAATTCAAAGTCCGTGCCTTGGTGAACCTTTACAAACTAGAGAAGAAAACGTAATACCATCTAGTCACCGACATATATATATAATGATAGTGCGATTAAACGGTCGAACTCAGAGAGCACAACATATCCAAAACACCAGGTTATTTGTATATATCATCGTCAAGTGGCCCAAATGGAACACATCATACTCTGACTTCATACCTCAAGGTTCAGAAATCTAGCAACAGTTTTGGTAGTCATTTGGTAACAGAAATTGAGTCACTTTATTCAAAACTTCATTTTTTCATACCATTTGGCGAAGATACGGGTTCATAGTTGAGAATTTATGGACTTGTGATCAATTTTAAAATCATCGTAACAACTAATAAAACAATCCGCTTCCACAGTTTGACATTCAATAAGCCAGTCTCTCTGAACTTATAAAATATATGCCTAGGACGTGGGCAACCCGCATGATTAAATATTTTGAAATGTGATAACTTTCTGAGATTAAGCTGAGGAGTGTCAAAATTAATAATTAGAAAATAGTATCTGAATGGTTATAGCCGCGACAAAAAGTGAAACAAACTTCATAGTCACAGCAAATATTCACTGAGAATTTCACTTATCAAAATTTACACCATCTTCGTAAAAAAGCTGGTGAAAATACATCGCTCCGTCAAGATTAAAATTTTGTTGACATGATAGATACTTGCTTTTAACTTCAAACTTTTGACTTCATTTAAAATCACTGTTATAAACAACTCTCCCGGCTCCAAAAAAATAAACTTTCGCTTCAGATTTCAACTGGGTAACTATAATGTTATCTCTTATTTGTTCATATTTTCCCCATCATCTGTCTTAAAACACTAAGACCTCGATAATCCTGGAGAACACTGTTGAATTTCAACATTATCTTAAGCCTAAAACCTTGTTTTTTATAACCAGTATTCACGTAAAGCAAAATGACTTAAGTATGAACACTTGGACAACTGATGGGGGATTACTGATGTGTGGAACATATATTACGCTTATCTAATTTTAACTTAGTGATGGCAACACCTTACTGTAATAGGGGCGAGACTATAATTTATGGAATAACCAATCAGATATAAAATAATGAGTCTCGATTTTCGGCGCGAAATTCATCCATACATTTGGCTAAAGAGTTTTGGCACTATACCTGATGTTAGTTCGTGATGAAAACCATAAATCTAATTTTTAACCCTAACCATCAACTGTCAATGAGAATTCTAACTGTACAGTACAAAACGTCAACCAAGAAAATATGTGGAAACATTTTCTGTGGTGAAAAGCTGTACGCTGATAAATTCGCCTTTAAATCGTATATCTGTGAGAACTTTTCCCCATCACTTTGAAGGGAAACTCGATTTCTAACTCAAGTTGAATAGTACTGAGGCTGATTTATCTGCGTGTCTTTATCTGTCCACTCGCACTGAGTACCAAATCTACTGTTCGCAAGGAATAAGTACGTACGTACCTATAAAGAAGAAAAATATCATAAGACACGATCTTTCTTCAGTCCTTAATAATAAGGGTAGTAGATCCGTGAACTTATGATAAACCTTGCGTCTTGATTTACAGTAAAGATATTTTGGCCAAAAATGGTTTGATGTAGCCGGGTTGAAGACATCACGCAAAACAGCCTTAACTCCGCTTTGTTGTCAAGTGGGAGAAATCAAAAATTATCCTTAAATTTAGAAAAACTTGGGAACCGTATATATGGTTTCAAACGTTGTATAAAAATATTGCAACTTTCAAGTTTAATGGAGACAAAAAATTCCAAAAAACTAAATAAAAACAATATATCTCACCGACGGTACGTAGTAATTCAACTTTTCTCAAGTCGAACTTCTTTTTATCAAAAGGAATACATTTGACATCCTGATTTGTTTTGGAATCTACATTATTTTGGTTGTTTTTATTGTTTTTATATAAAAAAAGCATTCTTCGAACTCTGGACGCCATAAAGTGCATCATCAACTGTTTTCCTTAATACTGAAAAAGTGTTGTTTGGACAATAAGCCATCAATCGAAAACTAAGTCCTTATTTTGAAAAAGTGCGTGACCGTGAACGTAGACGAAAAATAATGCGCAAAAACTAAGCCAAAAAATTATAAACTCTTATTAATCTTCGCCTCAGTATTAAACCTTTGCATCATTTTTCAAACTGGATTGGGTTTGTTTTAGTAATGAGGTTGCTCTCAAACTAGTTAAATGACAACGAATTCTAGCTAAGGTATCTATCAACAAAAATTGTTCCTATCCGATTACGATGATCAGCAAACAGCCTAGAACGACGTAGGTCAAGTTGCTGCACCTGTAGGATTAACAGAACGTCACTGGATCTCAGCCAAATCATGCGGCAGTTTGGTCACAGAACATCAAACAGTTCAGCAATCCTCGTCAAGGTCAAAGACGACTGACGAGCATCAGTCAATTCCACGTTATGAACTGGTCCATGCGGTGGTGGCTACTTTTCGTTTTCTGTACCTACTCATACTAAAATATTTGTGTGATAACGTCGTTTGTGTTGTACAGTCACCTAAGTAGCTATAGTACCTGAATACAATGAAATGGTAATCTACTTAAGTACTAACCGTGAGGCGTGACTTCGACGTTAACTTGTCAGCCAAACCATTTCCATCTATCTAGAGCAAGCCCTCAATCATTCGGCGCGCATCACAGACGTTTGTGATCTATATACTCCTTCATTAAGTTTTAGTCAATTTACACATGTATTCTAACAGCGTGAATAAGCTAAACATACGGACGGTTGTCTAACATCCGACATTCCTTTTAAGGATATTAAACTGGTGGTGTGAGGAAAATTCCACATTTCTTACTCTTAGTATTATGACTATATTCCATACGCTAGATCACAATCACAGTGTAGACACAGACAACATAAATTATTGCTAGTGAAGAGAGATTTGTCAACCAACTGGGTGAGGGAGCATGTCCTTTAAAAGAAATCCTACAATTTCTTCTATATATGAAAAGAGAATGAGTAAATGGCTACTGCTAGGATCCACTTATAGACTGTTATTATATATATATTCTTATTGTATAACCATGAAATAACTGTATCATATGCACATTCTTATTCCCTTTATTATAAGCTCTTTAACTTAGAACTCAACACAGCGAAATGCGTCTAACTATTTGCTGGAGATAAATCTAACATTTGACGAGAACGTCCAGCCAACATTCACGTCAATAAGTGAACTTGAGGTACATTACTCCCACAGTCAAAAGTTCTCTGAACATATCTTCACTAGAGCATCTAAAGTGCTATGCCTCATTCTTTGTAACTTCTTTCAAAATGGATCTAAAATCATCCTTTACAAGATACATATAATAGCAATCGTTGAATCCTGTTCTTTCTAATTTCTCAACTGACGCCAATCGGACGTACTTAAAGTGAAAGGAATCCAACCGGATTTCACTCGCGAAAAGCCTTAAACTGGTTTGCTCGATGACCATCGTTCCATATACCATATTCTAGGACTTGAACCACTCCGTATAAGAAGGCTTAGGTCTAACTTGATTCTTTACTTCAAGCTTCTCAAAAATCTTAATTATTCCAAATGAATTAGAGTTCTTACCCAAGGCGCACAAATATACGACCCCTGAGATAACTTATCTACAGTTAAAGTCCAAAAACTCTAGAAAACTTCCCCATCATCAAGTTCGCATTATTATGGAACTGTCTTTCTTTGGTTATACGCCTGTTAGATGGATTATGTACGTTTATAAGACTGGACCCTACTCATACATCATAGACCTTCTACATACCTAAAACATATAAGACTCTAAGTTCAATTTCCTTCGCTTTTCTCCTTTGGAATTGTACTAGAAAAAATGAATTGTATGACGAAGCATGACTCATAGATATTTCGTGCCTCACTGTACCAATGTTCATGCTTTCTAATGAAAAATATATATCCTTTCTTAATTTTTACTTGAAATAGACAGATGGCTCACTGGACCTACCGATACCGCTCAAATTCAGCCGATCCCAAAGTACACTCACTATTGTCGTAAAGAATTGTCATGATAACCTCACGATCTTCTGCTTACTACCACCGATCTGGCATCTATGGAGCTTTTCACAAATCAACTGGTTAGGGTAGCACAAAATACAATCAGCGCCAGGTTAATGAGTTTTTTCTTGTCTATTTTCCATCATATTTCTAATCACAAACTTCGCTTGAAGCACTTCTTGAGTTACTGCCAATCTAAAGCCCAGGTAATGGAAGAGGGTTAGGCATGAGGTCATCACCTTCAACCCGTGGAAATCAACACTCATAAAAAACGCCAGGTCATTTAAACTCCGCCCTCTAAGTTGGAAGACCTTCATTCAGAAGAATTACGGTAGATTGTGATGAAAGCCGAGATTATTTGGAAATTGCGAGACTGATCCTTATGTTGATATCCAGAGTAACAATTAACATAAATATATATAATATCTGTACAATGTGAGAAAAATGGAAGACAAGTAAATAGCTGCAGAAATGAGAAAATACAACTCAGTGGTTCACACAATAAGTGAAACCAATTAGTCCCAAGCTGGATAGAAAAGATAAGCATCGGGAGAGGTGCGGCTGAACTCTACTCACGAAGAAGAAAATGCTCCGCGAACTCATGAAGTTGCTTTGAAGCTATCCCAAGAAGTGTGTGACTCACTTATAGGATGAAAGTCTCATTGATCCAGAATCATCAAAACATTCTTCAAAACAAAAGAGGGAATTACAATGATTAAGTGCGGATTGCATGCCTTGGGCATTATCGCACAGTAAGACAATATCATCCGCACACTCAAGGTCGAGAAGTCTTTCTCCAGGCAACAGATCTACACCACCACTACTTACATTCATCAGAGCTATCTCCAGAATGTCATCGATGGCAAAGTTGAAGAGGAATGGTGAGATTGGGTAACCCTGTCTAACCCCACTGCTGAAGTCGTTGTATGCTCTCACCCTGCCTGAGGTGTTTGCATATAGGGTTTTTGATATGTCAATGCAGTTCGCAGGCGCATTCTTCCTCAATAGACGGACTCCGAGAACAGTCTTGTCCAACGAATCAAAAGCAGCCCTGATTTCAAGAAACAATAGGATTTTTGGCCTTTGATAAGTATGAGGGTGTTCTAACACTTGGCGGAGGGTGAAGATATAATCAATACACCCTCTACCAGAACGAAAACCAGCCTGCTCCTCGTGAGTCAATCCCTCTTGGGTTTTGAACAACCTACGAAGAATGACGGAAGCCAAAATTTTGGACGCATTTAGAAGTAGGCTTCTCCCTCACTAGTTGTTCCAGAAATGACGTGAACCCTCTTTTAAGATAGGGACAATTATCGACTTAATCCACGACGTTGTAACACTCTCGAACTGCCAATTATTTGCAAACAACCCAGTGAATTCCTTGACCGGACAGTCACCATCATCTTTAAAAAGGATTGGAGGTAAGTTATATGGGTCCGGTGGTTTGTAGCGCTTCAAGGGTTGGAGTTCTTTGCAGACTTCCCCCTTATTTGGTAGATCAGTCGTCACCGGCAGTGGAGGGCAGGACAGTCTGACCTATGTTGCCGGAGCATCAGGCCAGTTGAAATGCCCTTCGAAAAATTCTCCCCATCGTCCAAGACGTCGATAGATAATAGTGATTCACATTCAGTCACCCTCGCAGATTATTTCGCTCACACCAGACTTCTCGCTGCCAGTGGCTCGGATAAGTTGGAAGAGCTTCTAGTAGTTACCAAATGCAGCTGCTGCTTCCAGCTCATTGGCACGCTGAACACCAGGCTTCTCGGTCCTTACACAAGCTTTGCCCAATTTCATTACGCAACAGTCGCCGTTTGCGGTCAAACTCACAGTTACCCGGAGTAGGCTGACGGGCTTGAATGAATTGTAAAGAACCCGAAGAAACCCAGTGCTTATAAGCAGGAAGTTTCGCGAGGCCGCAAGCGACTCTACTCGCCATTATCATGGAGTCGTGCAATTGTAACCATGCTCATCTGTACTTTACGACAAAATATTAGCTATCCTTGAAATTAGCTCAGTACGATATTTAGTTGCAACGAAAGTTGCAATCAATTTACTGACATCGATCCGTCTGGGACGATGAATTTGTTGACCAACGAAAAGTAAGGTAAGATTAACGCAAACAAGGGAATGATCAGAATCCAGATAGGTGATACAGATGGAGCGTCAGTCTTGTATACAACCACGTCAGAGGTAGCTGATCGAGATGTGATCAATCGGAGTCCGTGTGTGTGTTTTAAAAGTAGGGGATTGAATATTAAGTACTAGTTTATATGGGGTTTAACTTTACAATGAAAGAGTTAAATTTGTCAGAAACTAACCTAATTTTACTGCCAAATAGCTGCACCGTTTTTTACGGTTATGAAAGTGTATCTGTGTTCACCATCACAATATCAAATATGTTCAAAAATTTAGTTTTCTTGTTTGATTAAATGAAATATTATTTACGATAAGGATAGTTTTTCAAGGTTAACCTTTTGAAGCATCCACTTTGTCATTATTTTGAAGTTTTAGTAATGACTAGACTTATTAGTTGCTTTGTTATTGTAATGAGAGTTCCTTAGAATTATTACAATGACAAAATTTATTTATTAACAAACTCATATAGCAAGTCTATATTTATAATTACGTGGATAATGATTTTTATACTTAGTTTTGTCTTGAATAGACCAGCTCCCCCGAGCTCACCGAACATAGAAGAACCAACTACGGACATATCTATAGATGTCACTCCACTATTGACGGAAAAAATCAGAATATCCGTCAAAAAGATTAAGTGTGAAATAGTGCGAGCAACAGACAGCATGCCGACATCAGAGTCAGAATGTTCAATACAAGCGTTAAGACAGTTCTGTGATGAGGAGCTGAGGCCTGGAAAACTGCTAAAACCAGGATGGCCATCAGACAAATCAAGAATAGGAAAGACAATATACCAGCTCAAGCACTGAAGTCAGACATGAAGTAACTGCAAACATGCTTCACCTTTTATTCAAGAAGTTTTGGGAG